CCCCCCCCCAGGCTCCCAGACCTTTGAGCAACCTTCAGTTTGCAGAAACCCTGCCCGCAGTCCGGGACTCCCACCGCGGAGGGGAGGGTGTTCTGGTTCCTGCCTCTCATCCCAATTTGGGAGTGGGTGTCAGGTTCCCGGTGAGGACGGGACGGGGGTGGCCAGGCCTGAAGGACGTAGGTACACTGGCCGGAGTGGCCGGCCCCACACGCCGACAGGAGCGATCCCGAGCCGTGAGTAGGGGGCCCGCCTGACTCAGAGTCCCCGGCCCCGCGCGGGGGCGAGGACGGCGCCGGGGGCCTAAGCGGTCGGGCTCGGGGGACGGAGGGAGCTGAACCCCACTTCTGTCCAGGTCGACTCCGCTTCCCGGAGCGCCTTTCCCCGCCGAGCCCCTCGCTGACGCCTCCACCCTGAGGCCGCCCTTCGCTGTCCTGGGGGGTCCCGGAGCTTTCAAGGCCTTTACCCACCACCCACCCCTGCACCATTGTGGCTAGGCCCTCCCGGAACGCCGGCGCGAGGGTTCGGCGGCGGTTGGCCGGGCTGCGGAGCNAGCGGCCGGGGGGCGGGGCCTGCCTGAGCGCGCCCGCGCACGCTCCTGCCCCCCAGGTGCCGGACAAACCCCAGGATGGCGGAAGCGCATCAGGCCGTAGCCTTTCAGTTTACGGTGACCCCGGACGGGTTCGACCTCCGGCTCAGTCGGGAGGCCCTGAAACACATCTACCTGTCCGGGATCAACTCCTGGAAGAAACGCCTGATCCGCATCAAGGTGGGCGCAGGTGGTTCTCCCGGCCTCTCCCTTCCAGCAGGTGCAGAACAGAGCTTTCGGGCACAGGCAGAGGCCAGGTGTCAGCTGTTGCCCTGTCGTCAGGTTCCTGCACCACCACCTCGGCTGGCGGTTCTGCTGGATGCAGGCTCCAGCAGGGCAGGAACCAGAGGGGTGCTGAGGGTGTGGAGGGACACGGTGAGTAATGGGGTGCTGCAGGTGTGGATGCGGAGAAGCAGCAGGAAGAGCACAGCAGGTGGACGAGGGAGAACGCCTTCCAGACAAAGACTGGGAGTCCTGTCCTGGGACTTCACAGGAGCTTGCTTAGCTCATACCTTCCTGCTCCAGGGATGCCTCTTTTGCTCCACAGAATGGCATCCTCAGGGGTGTGTACCCGGGCAGCCCCACCAGCTGGCTGGTCGTCGTCATGGCAACGGTGGGTTCCTCCTACTGCAACATGGATGTCTCCTTAGGGCTGGTCAGTTGTATCCAGAGATGCCTCCCTGAGGGGTAAGCAGTGGGGTGGGGAGGGCACAGGTGTCAAGAGGGAGGGGTGGGTCCAGTTCCCAGGCTGAGGTTCCTGAGCTGGGCAAATATAGGACAGTAGCCATCGGTTGTCACCGGGGCAGCCCTCCCCCGAGCCACTCATCTCAGTCCCACATCAGCTCGTATTTGCTGCATTCAGACATGAGTGTGCCCAGAGAGGCTCTTCCTTCCTCAGTGCCTCCTCCGAGACAGTTCACAGCCATCACCTGCAGAGTCAGAATTTTCCCAACGCTGGCCTGGAGTGGATCCCTTGCAGCGCTCGCCCCTTCTCCGATAGGTGTGGACCTTACCAGACCCCGCAGACCCGTGCACTTTTCAGTATGGCCATCTTCTCAACGGGGGTCTGGGTGATGGGCATCTTTTTCTTCCGCCAAACCCTGAAGCTGCTTCTTTCCTACCATGGGTGGATGTTTGAGATGCATGGCCGGACCAGCCACTTCACTAAGATCTGGGCTGTGAGCAGAAACCGGTGAAGGGGTTCAGGCATTGAACCCGGGGCCCTCATTGGGGTTGTGGCCTGGAGGGAAGAGGCGGATGGGGTACTGGTGCCTGGCGTGTGGGTTTGCCCTGGAGGAGCTGGGATAATTCTGAGGGTCTCAAGTGTTTGCTGGTTTGTTTCCGTTTCTTTCCTCTGGCTCCCACCCCGACACTGTGCTATGTATCCCCCAGATCTGTGTCCGCCTTCTGTCCAGCCGGCGACCCATGCTCTACAGCTTCCAGACGTCTCTGCCCAAGCTTCCCGTGCCCAGCGTGCGAGCTACGATTCAACGGGTGAGGGTCCGGGTCGGGCATCCCAGTGGATGGGGAACTGGATTCAGAGGACTAGTCCAGACATGAGGCACTGCTCCATGCAGCATGGGCTTGAGGGAAACGGGGCTGGAGTGAGGACAGAGAGATTAAGGGGAAAAGGGTTAAGATAGAGGCAGCCATCACTATCTGGCCCCTGTGGTGATGATGACTTGCCTGACTTGCCTGGACAGTACCTGGAGTCTGTACGGCCCTTGTTGGATGACGTGGAATATTACCGCATGGAGACACTGGCCAGAGAATTCCAGTACAAGACTGCCCCCAGGCTGCAGAAATACCTGGTTCTCAAGTCGTGGTGGGCAACTAACTACGTAAGTTTGCCCTGCTGGGCTCTTCCTCACCCACCATGTGTTCTGACTGCTGTCTTCCCCAGCTCTGACCTCCTACCCACCCACCCGCAGGTGAGTGACTGGTGGGAAGAGTACATCTACCTTCGAGGCAGGAGCCCCATCATTGTGAACAGCAACTATTATGTCATGGTAAGGACTAGAGCCACGGGCCAGCCCGGTGGCGCACTCGGTAGAGTGTGGCGCTTGGGAGTGTGGCGGCGCTCCCGCCGAGGGTTCGGATCCCATATAGAGACCGGTCCGCTCACTGGTTGAGCACAGTGCGGGCGCGACACTGAGGGTTGCGATCCCGTTACCGGTCACGAAAAAAAAAGACAAAAAGGATTAGAGCCACATGGGGCTCCCATGTGTGCTCACCTCTGTCCCAGCTCCAGGGCACAGGACCTGGAGAACAGCCCAGGCAGTTTCCATGGGCAAAAGGGAGTTATGGAGAAAGGCCTGAGGGAAAGGATGAAGGAGGGGAGATCCAGAAGAGCGGTCCAGAGCAGCTTAGGGCCGATGGGGATCCTGAGGATGAGGAGAATCTGGAGACCCTACAGCCTGTCACTGCCTCGCTTAGGCTTGTCACCTCCTTCCTTGGTTTTCTCACTGGTCTCCAGGCCACAGGTTCCCAGCTGTCCTGACACCATTACCAGGGAACTTCCTAAAACATGCCTTGCTTTGTGTCCCTCTGCAGAGCCAAAACGCAAGATGAAGGTCAGGCTTCTTTCAGAGCTCAGGAAGTCCCTGAATGCCCCTACCCCATATGTCTGGCCTTCTCTCAGCTGCCCGACACCTGTGCACAGCCAGCTGGGCCTCTCTGCTGCCAGACCACACACCTCTCCCTCCCATACTGTTCAGAGCACAGTCAACTCTGAGTGGCCTGCGGAGTTCCCCTCCTCCACAAGCTGTTCTTCCAGAAACTCATGCACAGCTTGTCGATACTGGAGGTTTTAAACTGTTTTTTAATGGCAGAGCACCCTTTTCAAAGCAAAATGAGTAAAACATGAATAAATAAAATAGGTTATAAAAAAGCAGCTCAGGTCAAAGCTGGAACAGAGGAGTAATGTGATCAGTTATGCATTTCTGGAGATTCACTCTGAAGCGTATGCAGAATGAACTGGAGAAAGGGGACAGGACACCTCAGGTCCCTGGATAGATTGGTCTTTGGACCAGCAAGACCGAGGTGGCACTTGGGTGCCACTGTCACCTGGTGCCCACCCTGCAGGCTCTGCTATCTCTGTAGGATCTTGTGTTCATCAAGAACACAGATGTGCAGGCAGCCCGTCTAGGAAACATCGTCCACGCCATGGTCATGTATCGCCGTAAACTGGACCGTGAGGAGATCAAGCCGGTGCGTTGTATCAGGGTTGGGGGTGGGACGGGAGAGGAGACCTGAGTCTGAGCCATGCTGGGCCTTCCTCCCAGGTGATGGCTCTGGGCATGGTGCCCATGTGCTCCTACCAGATGGAGAGGATGTTCAACACCACTCGCATCCCGGGCAAGGAGACAGGTACCAGGCTGCAGTCGGGCACCCATGGGGACCAAGCCCCTCCCTCCCAGCCATGGGCCTGCCATGGCTAGGTGCCCTGCTGCTTGCTCATCACCCACCATCCCAGAGTCTCAGGGTCGCAAAACTAAAAAGTGGTTAGTTGGCGACAGGTACTAGACATCTGTCATTTACAGGCACGATGCTGGGGCTGGGACCTGCAGGGGCTCACTTTGCGTGGGAAGGCAGTCATGTGCGTAAAGAGCAACAGGAAGAGTGCTGCGGCTCTGGAGCTCAGGAGAAGCACAGGTGCCCCTTGTGGAGGCTGCAGAGGAGGCAGGAGGGGCTCGCTGGGGGTCTGGCAGAGGCAGCAACCTTCTGCTTCTGACAGTGTGTCCTCAGGCAGTTGGCATACCTTCCTAGGGCCTTCGGTTTCTTTCTCTCTGAAACGCCTCACATCATCGTTGCTGATGTTGCAGGAGAGATAGAGGAAGCAGGGCCAAGAGATGGAGGGTCCTGCCCTGGGAAAGAAAGGCCCAGGGCAGACAATGGGCGAGGCAAAGGGTGGGCGAGGCAGGGCCTCAGGGGCCACCTAGTGCATGGAGATGGGTCCCCTCCAGGCACATTTGGGGGAGCTTCCCATGGCCCTGCCTCAGCCTGCCTGCCATCTCTGTTGCAGATGTGCTGCAGCACCTCACAGACAGCAGGCATGTGGCTGTCTACCACAAGGGCCGCTTCTTCAAGGTGTGGCTTTATGAGGGCTCCCGCCTGCTCAGGCCTCGGGACTTGGAGATGCAGTTCCAGAGGATCCTGGACGACCCCTCCCTGCCTCAGCCTGGGGAGGAGAAGCTGGCAGCCCTCACCGCAGGAGGAAGGTATCAGGGCCTGTGGGGAGGAGCCGTCTGGCCAAGGTTTAGGACCCCTTGAGGAGAGCAGATGGGCACTGCATGCCATCCTGGAACTGGGGGGGCTGGAGGCACAACTGAAGGAGGGGCGGGTAGGACCTGCAGGAGGGAGGGGCACTGGTGGTAACAGCAGCAAGATGCAGGTGTGACCCACCTCTAACGGGGCAGCTACAGGTCAGGGACACCTTCCAGGACAGCCCTGCAGCCCTCCCACCCCATCTCCAGCCACTGCTCAGCCTGCCCTGTACCCCCAGGGTGGAGTGGGCACAGGCTCGCCAGGCCTTCTTCAGCTCTGGCAAAAACAAGGCTGCTCTGGATGCCATTGAGCGCGCCGCCTTCTTTGTGGCCCTGGATGAGGAGTCCTACCGTTACGACCCCGAAGACGAGGCCAGCCTCAGCCTCTACGGCAAGGCCCTGCTGCACGGCAACTGCTACAACAGGTGCAGCGTCCCCAACCCCACAGTTAGAGGTTAGGGTTGAAGGTTAGTGGTTAGGGTTAAAGGTTAGGGGTTACAATTAGAGGTTACAGTTAGGGTTAGAAGATTAAGGTTAAAAGGGTTATGATTAGGGTTTATGTGGTCTAAAGGTTAGGAATAGAGTTTAGGATTAGTGCCTAGTGATAGTGTTAGGGTTAGGGTTAGAGGTTGGGGTCTGGAGTTAGTTATGGTGTCAGGGTTAGTGTTGCAGTTTAGGCTCCTTTGGCCACCCCAGCCCTGGGTCATCCCTGTATCTGTTTCTCCTACAGGTGGTTCGACAAGTCTTTCACTCTTATTTCCTTCAAGAATGGTCAGTTGGGCCTCAACACAGAACATGCATGGGCAGACGCCCCCATCATTGGGCACCTCTGGGAGGTAACAGGCCTGGAGAGAAGACCTTCAGGGCAGGCTTTGGGGGTGAGGTTGTCCTCTCAGCCTGACCCTCTCCCTGCAGTTTGTCCTTGGCACCGACAGCTTCCACCTGGGCTACACAGAGTCTGGGCACTGCCTGGGCAAGCCGAACCCTGCACTGGCACCTCCTCTACGGCTGCAGTGGGACATTCCTAGGCAGGTGGGTCAGGTGCACCCAGGGCAGGTATGCAGGCAAAAAGGGGCAGGGCCAGAACTTACCAGGAAACTGAGAAGGTCCTGACTGGCCAGAGGAAACAGAAACCCTGGAGCTCTCTGTGGCTAGAGAAAGACATTAGATGCAAGGTCCATGTCCCTGGAGCTCTGTCAGCACCTCACTCCTCCCCACAGAGCTCAGCCTGGCCTCTGGTGGCTGATCCCCCTCAGGTAGTCCTTTGTGTCCCCTCCTCCTGAAGATCCGTCACCTAAGCTTCATGCCTCCTATGTGCATTAGAGTCCTGCTTGGAGACTCTGCCCCCAGCTGACCCTTTCTGTGTCTTGGCAGTGCCAGGCAGTCATCGAGAGTTCCTACCAGGTGGCCAGGGCGCTGGCAGATGATGTGGAGTTATACTGCTTCCAGTTCCTGCCCTTTGGCAAAGGCCTCATCAAGAAGTGCCGGACCAGCCCTGATGCCTTCGTGCAGATTGCCCTGCAGCTGGCTCACTTCCGAGTAGGGCCCCACCCAACCTCCCTGGTTGCTGAGCTGGAAGGGCAGCACCAGGGTCCACCTGACAACCTCTTTTTACCCCAGGACAGGGGCAAGTTCTGCCTGACCTATGAGGCCTCCATGACCAGAATGTTCCGGGAGGGACGGACCGAGACTGTGCGTTCCTGTACCAATGAGTCCACAGCCTTTGTGCAGGCCATGATGGAGGGGTCCCACATGGTGAGCCCCTACTCCCTGCTCCTCCCCTCCGCTGCCCCACCTGGGGGTCACCGCCATATGGTAAGGTACCCCCTTCACCTCCACCCACCTCGAGTGTCGGGGCCGCTCTTCACCTATCTACTTCTGCCCCCAGAAAGCAGACCTCCAAGATCTCTTCCGGAAAGCTGCCGAGAAGCACCAGAATATGTACCGTCTGGCCATGACAGGGGCTGGGATTGATAGGCACCTCTTCTGCCTTTATGTGGTCTCCAAGTACCTGGGGGTCAGCTCCCCTTTCCTGGCTGAGGTCAGTGTTGTTGATGGTGTATCCTCTGCCCTCTTAGGGTCCCCTGCCCTCTTAGGCCCGGGGCTTGGCCTTCTCATGATGAGTCTCAGCCTGATTTCTGTCTGGCCAGTTCCCCCGAAGTCACCCTGGAGGGCTGGGGCCAGCTTTCCCACACCACACCCCAACCGGGCCTGTGCTTCTGGGACTGAGCAGGGACAGCGTCTTCCTCATGCACTGTCATGAGAGGGGACAGACAGACAAATGTGTGATCTCTCAGGTGGTACAGTGCTAGTGAGAAAAGTAAAAGAGGCAGAAGGGAAGTAGGCCAGAGCAGAGGGAAGGATGGGCCTCTCACAGCAAGATGGAGGGTTTCATGCAGATGCCATGATGGTAAGGACAGGCTATGGGGGACCAGGGGACAGCGGCCAGGGAGCTCCTACACTCACGTCCACTCTTGCATCCTCAGCATGACAGTGCCAGTTGGACAGGTGCGTGCAGAGTGTCTGGTGTCTGACCATTACAGCCTCCCTGTTGCAGGTGCTTTCAGAACCCTGGCGCCTTTCCACCAGCCAGATCCCTCAATTCCAGATCCGCATGTTCGACCCGGACCAGCACCCCAATCACCTGGGTGCTGGAGGAGGCTTTGGCCCTGTGAGTGCCCCTGAAGGGGGACGGGCAGGCAGCACTGGGGCCCAGAGGTTTCAGTGGAGAGCACAGGGCCCCCAGGAGGTCAGACTGGGGGCAGGAGCCCTTGTTCAGAGGAGGACATAACTGCAGACCTGCATGGAAGCAGATGGTAGCTATCGACCCAGGCAGACAGGGACCTGGGACCCACGGCTCCCAAGCGCCACTCACTGGAGTATGAGCACGCCCAGGGCTGGTTTCCAGGGGACTGGGCAGTGCATTGGACATTTCTGAAATACGAGTGTACTTCAGAAAATTCATGGAAAATTAAAATTAAAAGATAATATGGATCCTTCCATGAGCTTTTTGAAGTACCCTCCTATGCTTACCTGAGAGAGTCCATCTCTCTCACTCTGAGATGTTCACATAGGCTAGTTTGTTGAAGGCTAGTGGCACCCCTGGACAGAGAGGAAGTGGTCCAGAGTCTGAGCACCTAGGCAAAATGGCAGGTCTGAGATCCCTGCTAGATCCCTGGGTAGGGTCTGGAACTGCAGGAGCAGTGTTCTTTGGTTTTCACAGTTTCCTGGGGGTGGTCCTGACCTCAGGAAAGATGTAGCATCTGGGGTGAGGCCCCTTCCTGTGAATCTTGTGGGAAGAGCAAGCACATTGGCCAGACCTTGAGACCTTCACAGTCGGGTTTACATCTCCTCCACCCTGTGTTGCCTTCAGGTGGCAGATGATGGCTATGGGGTTTCCTACATGATCGCAGGTGAGAACACGATCTTCTTCCACATATCCAGCAAATTCTCAAGCTCAGAGACGGTGAGTCTCTACTTCTGCTTAGGCCTAGGGTTGGTGGGGGGGGAGGGCGGTGCCTCTTGGGGGCTGCCAGGAGCTCACTCTCTCTGGCTGGGGAAGCGTCCTTGCTTGTGGGGATAAGGGTGGGGGCTCGCCTGAAGGCGCATCTGAGCTCTCGGCTCCCACAGAATGCCCAGCGCTTTGGGAACCACATCCGCCAAGCCCTGCTGGACATTGCAGATCTTTTCCAAGTTCCCAAGACTGACAGCTGAGGGCTGGAGAAACGCCAGCTGCCCTTTTGTCCCCACGTTGTGGAGGAAGGGGCCTGTGGCCGTGCACAAGTACCCAGACTGTAAGGACAACTCTGGCAGCAGGCACTCCCCAGGCAGGTGGTGCTCCCTGAGGACCCGAGTAGTAGAGGTGGGGTTGGAGCAGGGAGGTTGTTTTTTTCCTTGGTAGATACTAATAAAAATAAGGCTGTGTAATCTCTCTCAGCCCTCAGGTACCTGTGTTTTGTTTGGGAACTAAGAGGTCCTCCCCCTGCCCCAGCTCAGGCCAGAGGGGTGGCAGGGGAAGGGCTGAGGCTGGGACACTGTTTGTGAGGGGCTCGTGACCTGCTGAGTGATGCAGGCTCTGAGAACGCTGTCCACACCCACATGTGCTCTTGGAATAAATTCTTGCTTCAGAACCTTCACCAGGTCCCTGGGGCCACTTCTGTGTGTTTGTCTGCTGGAGAGTAGGGCCCCCCTGCCTCCTCCGTGCCCGCGCATGCCTTCTGGGTGGGAGCACAACCCTACAGAGGCCCTTGGCCACCTCCCAGGCGTATGGAGGGGCTGCAGTCCTAAGCCTGAGGCCAGGGTGCCAGGTGGTCATGTCTTTGAGAGCACAGGATAACCTGGAGCAGCGTATGCTCCTTCACGCAGGTTAGCTTTTCTATTAAAACATGAAGGGTAAGTCAAAAATCGTTTTTATGGGGCCGGCCCGGTGGCACACTGGATAGAGCGCCGCTTGGGAAGTGCGGCGGCGCTCCCGTCCGAGGGTTCGGATCCCACATACAGACCGGCTCCCACTCACTGGCTGAGCGAGGCGCGGGAGCAACACCGAGGCTTGCGATCCCGTTGCCGGTCCCTGGTCCGGTACGGGGGCAACACTGAGGGTTGCGATCCGTTGCCGGACACGGAAAAAAGACAAAAAAGACAAAAAAAAAAAAATCGTTTTTATGGAAAGTGTAAGTAGATAGTCAATTACCATTGCTGCATGCTTGAATGAATCCATATCTCAGCACTCTGCTAGTTGCAAAAAACTCTGAAGTAAATTAGAATTCAGTTCTGGGCCTTCCTTAGGAACCAATGTTTGTTGAGCACCCACCATAGACTTGGCCCTGTGCTGGGGATTCAGTGGTAAGCAAGGCAGTATCTCTGCCCATGTGGAATTCACTGCTAGGTGAGGCAGGCATGATCAGGGGACAGAGCAGCTGGCAGGAAACCAGGAGGCTTTTGGAATAATCCATTTAGCAAGTACTGACTGAGTGCCTACAGTGTGCAAGACACTGCGATTCAGCAGAGAGCAGAACTGGGAAACACAATCACTTCCTGTGGGGCTGAGAGCCTAGTAAGGGAGACAGACAATAAACAAGAAGAACATGTAAATTACATAGTAAGTCAGATGGTGAAAGTGCTAAGGAGAAAAGGGGGAGGGAAAAATGGAGGGGTAGTGGTGATCTCCAATGGTGACAAAAGCAGGCTGTCCTCAGTGGGGCTGTTTGACTACAGACCTGAAGGAGATGAGCAAGCCAAGTTTCTCGTGCCCCATACCTGAGGGCAGAGTATTCCAGGCTGCAAGGACAGCAAGAGCCTGTGGCTCTTGTGGAGTCAGGAAGAGGAAGAGCAGGAGGAGGCAGGTAGAATAGGAGGCAAGGGCCTCAAGGGTCAGACTCTGGCTTCTGGGGAAGCTGTTGAGGTTTGAGGAGAGAGTGACATAATCTGTCCTAATTTTAAGGAGGTCAGTCTGGTTAACCAGAGGATAAATAGAACAAAATAGGGTGCAATAAGGGTAGAAGCAAGAAGACCTGTCAGGGAGCAGTGCTCATGGTGATGGCAGAGTTGGGAGAAATGACAGGTCTTAAACTAAGGCAGTGCCATAAGAACGGGGAATTACAGAGCTGGCAGTATCAAAGGTAGGACTAACAAACCTGCTAGGAAGGCATCAAAGAGGAATTCACTTTTTCTGTTTTGGGTGATTGGGTGATTAAATGAGATTTTGAAATGTTGAATTTGACTTGCCTATAAGAAACATGTGGGGGCCGGCCCGGTGGCGCACTGGAGAATGCACCACTTGGGACTGCGGCGGCGCTCCCGCCGAGGGTTCGGATGCATGTGGAGACCGGTTCCCGCTCGCTGGCTGAGCATGGTGCGGGCACAACACTGAGGGTTGCGATCCCGTTGCCGGTCAGTAAAAAAGACAAAAAGGAAAAAAAAAAGAAGAAGAAACGTGAAAATGTCTCATAGACTTCTGAAAGTATAAATTAAAAGCTAGGGAGAGATCTAGGCTCCTCGTAACAGTTTTGAAGGTAGCTAAAACCTTGAGCGCACGAGAGGATTCATAGGGCAGAGACTCCTATCCTCTTTTGAGTCTCCATGAGCTTATAAAAGTATACGTGTGCTTATGAAATATTACATTCCATATCAGAGCTTTCTTGGGCTTTCAAAAATATTTTCACAGACCTCTGCCTTTCAGGGTGCCTGTGTAACCTCCCCTGGGAGAGTGTCTGGGTTTTGGGAGGCTTCTAGGGACATCAGCTCACCCAGTCCTGGGAGAACAGTGAGGAGAGAGTTTCCAATAAGCTGGCTTTTAATTAATATTGAAATTCAGGCCGGCCCGTGGCTCACTTGGTAGAGTGCGGTGCTGATAACACCAAGGCCACGGGTTCGGATCCTATATAGGGATGGCCGGTTTGCTCACTGGCTGAGTGTGGTGCTGACAACACCAAGCCAAGGGTTGAGATCCCCTTACCGGTCATCTTTCTATTAAAAAAAAAAAAGAAATTCAGTCATTAAAGTTCTCATATCTGATTTGTTCGTGGTTAAATTAAATGAGATGAGAAACCACAGTGTTAAACCAGGGTATAAACATCTGGTGACAACCCACCAGACCCAAATAAGCTCCCCTGTGTCCTGTGGGTTTGCAGACCTGCATTAGTTAAGGCTAGCAGCCATAACAGATAAATCCTGAAATCTCAGTGGCTTAACCCAATAGAACTTTAATTCTTGCTCAGGTCAAATCCAGTTGGCTCCATACCATTATTCAAGAACCTAGGCTGATGGGCTGCCTTCAGCAGGTGGCTCCCAAGCTGCCTTGGGCATCAGCATCAAGCAGGTACATGGGGGAACAGAGTGAGAGGGCCACTCGTGGGAAGCTTTAGTGGGTCTGGTCTGGAAGTGATGCAGAGCACTTTAACCCACATCCCACTGACCAGGACTCATATTGCAAGGGAGGCTGGGAAGTGTAGTCTGGCTGTGTGCTTGGGATGTAAAGGAAACATTTGGTGACAGTGGTCTCAGAGGTACAAGGGCATGGACAGACCAGGCTGACACCTTCTGGACTTCCCAAGAGCCCATGCCTTCATGGCCTGGGCTCTGCATGGTGCTTCATATAGCCCACCTCCATCTCCTGGGCAGGGTACTCAAGGCCTCTCATATTCCAGCCCAAATGATCTTCCCTGAGTCTACTGTGCCCCTCCCTCACCAAGAACCCTGAGCTCTAACTACACTCTCCATTCCCCAGAGGCAGACTCTTCCACATCTTTGCTTTTGCCCTTGATGGACCTTCTGCCTGGAATTCTGTGCCCTTTCTCAGCCTGGTGAACTCCTTGTCTATCCCAAAGCTGCCTTCATTACCCATCAGTTATTCTTGATTCATGTTTTTCTGGATGCTATTATAGAAATCAGCTCTGGGCTGTTTAAGTAAATGGAAGAATGATGGGACGTATGAAGGGCAGCTCACAGCTGAATGCTCACTTTGCCCAGAACTGTCTAGCTCAACTCCAGCTGTTTTTCCTCCTCTACAATCACTCTGCTAAGGATCTCAACCCCTGAGGAATTTCAGTGGGTCCCAGGTTTGTCAGGATTCTCAAATACAAGGTGTTCCAAAACCAAAGTTAACCTTCTAAACTGGCTTCTCTCCCACTCTTCCCCAGTGGTGTCACCCTCCAGCCTTCTTTCTCCCTCACTTCCCGCACTACCAACCCTGTCAAATCGATCTTCCAAAGGGCTTTTGACTCTGTTTACTGCCCTGCACCATGACCACGCCTCCCCCGTCCACCACCAAACAGCAGCAACAGCAGCCAGAGGCCTTTCACGCTTGTCACTCCTCTGCGTACCACCCCTCTAAGGTGCCCGTCGCCCTCCGAATAAAGCCCGAGCTTGGCCTGGCCTTCTGTCGAGCCTCCTCCCCACCGGAGCTTCCTGTGCCTGCCCCTGTGGGTGCTGGGCGGCTCCGCTGCCTGTCCTGCTGGGTGACGGGTGCGTCTACTGCCCGGACACCAGGGCTGGCTGGCAGACCGGGCTGGAATCAGGGCTCAGCACTCCCCAGCCCGGTGCCCCTGCGCGTGCCCCTGCCTCATCTCCGCGAGCCTTGGCTTCCTCCTCGGTAAGACGATGCGGCAAAGCCGGCCGCAGGCAGGTGTGAAAACTGCAAGTATCTGGGCGTCCAGGTGCCCATCGACAGAGGTTTACTGGCAGCCTCCGGGCCCAGTGCGGTCCAGGCCTCACGCCCACGAGCCACGGGCACGCGCGTACCCAGCAGGATCTCCTCGACCCATGTGCCCGCTCACCTGAGGCCGCCAGGCCGACGGCGGCCCCGCCCCTTCCTGCCGAG